GCGGCTGATAAATGTTTTTTGCTTGAAAGCACTTTGTTACATTGTACATACGCGAAAGATTAATGAGTAACTGGTGTGGATCTGATTCCATATTAACATCTACCTGTTCCATGTTGTAAATCGAACAGTTTAAATCATTCTTCGTAGAAATACAACTTGAGTATGGACAACTTTGGATTTATAACAATTTGTAACTTTAGCATTGATTGATCGGTATCTGGTCGGCATTTGATTTAAGGGAAAAATGTCTCATTCTAATATTGTTCAGCGTATAACTTTACGTCATACCCTGTAAGAAAGCGGCTTGAGTATGCACCTTTTTGTATTTGTAACAATTTGTATTAATATGTAACTTTAGCATAGATTGATCGGTATCTGGTCGGGATTTGGTTTTGGGGGAAAATGTCTGAGTCTAATGTTGTTCAGCATATAACTTTACGTCATACTATGTAAAAGACCGGCTTGAGTATGGACATTTTTATATTTGTAACAATTTGTAACAATTTGTAACTTTAGCATAGATTGATCGGTATATGGTCGGGATTTGATTTTTGGGAAAAATGTCTGAGTCTAATGTTGTTCAGCATATAACTTTACGTCATACTATGTAAAAGACCGGCTTGAGTATGGACATTTTTATATTTGTAACAATTTGTAACAATTTGTAACTTTAGCATAGATTGATCGGTATATGGTCGGGATTTGATTTTTGGGGAAAATGTCTGAGTCTAATGTTGTTCAGCATATAACTTTACGTCATACTATATAAAACACCGGCTTGAGTATGGACGTTTTTATATTTGTAACAATTTGTAACAATCTGTAACTTTAGCATAGATTGATCGGTATATGGTCGGGATTTGATTTTTGGGGAAAATGTCTGAGTCTAATGTTGTTCAGCATATAACTTTACGTCATACTATGTAAAAGACCGGCTTGAGTATGGACGTTTTTATATTTGTAACAATTTGTAACAATCTGTAACTTTAGCATAGATTGATCGGTATATGGTCGGGATTTGATTTTTGGGGAAAATGTCTGAGTCTAATGTTGTTCAGCATATAACTTTACGTCATACTATGTAAAAGACCGGCTTGAGTATGGACATTTTTATATTTGTAACAATTTGTAACAATTTGTAACTTTAGCATAGATTGATCGGTATCTGGTCGGGATTTGGTTTTGGGGGAAAATGTCTGAGTCTAATGTTGTTCAGCATATAACTTTACGTCATACTATGTAAAAGACCGGCTTGAGTATGGACGTTTTTATATTTGTAACAATTTGTAACAATTTGTAACTTTAGCATTGATTGATCGGTATCTGGTCGGCATTTGATTTAAGGGAAAAATGTCTCATTCTAATATTGTTCAGCGTATAACTTTACGTCATACCCTGTAAGAAAGCGGCTTGAGTATGCACCTTTTTGTATTTGTAACAATTTGTATTAATATGTAACTTTAGCATAGATTGATCGGTATCTGGTCGGGATTTGGTTTTGGGGGAAAATGTCTGAGTCTAATGTTGTTCAGCATATAACTTTACGTCATACTATGTAAAAGACCGGCTTGAGTATGGACGTTTTTGGATTTGTAACAATTTGTAACAATTTGTAACTTTAGCATAGATTGATCGGTATCTGGTCGGGATTTGGTTTTGGGGGAAAATGTCTGAGTCTAATGTTGTTCAGCATATAACTTTACGTCATACTATGTGAATGACCGGCTTGAGTATGGACATTTTTATATTTGTAACAATTTGTAACAATTTGTAACTTTAGCATAGATTGATCGGTATATGGTCGGGATTTGATTTTTGGGAAAAATGTCTGGGTCTAATGTTGTTCAGCATATAACTTTACGTCATACTATGTAAAAGACCGGCTTGAGTATGGACATTTTTATATTTGTAACAATTTGTAACAATTTGTAACTTTAGCATAGATTGATCGGTATATGGTCGGGATTTGATTTTTGGGGAAAATGTCTGAGTCTAATGTTGTTCAGCATATAACTTTACGTCATACTATGTAAAACACCGGCTTGAGTATGGACGTTTTTATATTTGTAACAATTTGTAACAATTTGTAACTTTAGCATAGATTGATCGGTATCTGGTCGGGATTTGGTTTTGGGGGAAAATGTCTGAGTCTAATGTTGTTCAGCATATAACTTTACGTCATACTATGTGAAAGACCGGCTTGAGTATGGACATTTTTATATTTGTAACAATTTGTAACAATTTGTAACTTTAGCATAGATTGATCGGTATATGGTCGGGATTTGATTTTTGGGGAAAATGTCTGAGTCTAATGTTGTTCAGCATATAACTTTACGTCATACTATGTAAAAGACCGGCTTGAGTATGGACGTTTTTATATTTGTAACAATTTGTAACAATTTGTAACTTTAGCATAGATTGATCGGTATATGGTCGGGATTTGGTTTTTGGGGAAAATGTCTGAGTCTAATGTTGTTCAGCATATAACTTTACGTCATACTATGTAAAAGACCGGCTTGAGTATGGACGTTTTTATATTTGTAACAATTTGTAACAATTTGTAACTTTAGCATAGATTGATCGGTATCTGGTCGGGATTTGGTTTTGGGGGAAAATGTCTGAGTCTAATGTTGTTCAGCATATAACTTTACGTCATACTATGTGAAAGACCGGCTTGAGTATGGACATTTTTATATTTGTAACAATTTGTAACAATTTGTAACTTTAGCATAGATTGATCGGTATATGGTCGGCATTTGATTTAAGAGAAAAATGTCTCATTCTAATATTGTTCAGCGTATAACTTTACGTCATACCCTGTAAGAAAGCGGCTTGAGTATGGACATTTTTATATTTGTAACAATTTGTAACAATTTGTAACTTTGGCTTAATTGGTCAGTATCTCGACGGGATTTGATTATAGAGCAATATGTTACAGTCTAATGTTATTCAGCGTATAAATTTACGTCATATTATTGAAAAAGCGGCTTGAGTGTGGCTATTTTTGGATTTGTAACAATTTGTAACATTGTGTATATCTCGTCGGGATCGGAGTTTAGAACAAAAAGTGCGGGCTTAATATTGTTCTCCATGTCAAGTTACGTCATAATATTGAAAATCCGGTGTTTCTAGTCACTTTTTTGCAAATATAACAATTTGTAACACTGTGTATATCTCGTCGAGATCGGAGTTTAGAACAAAAAGTGCGGGCTTAATATTGTTCTCCATGTCAAGTTACGTCATAATATTGAAAATCCGGTGTTTCTAGTAACATTTTTGCATTTGTAACAATTTGTAACACTGTGTATATCTCGTCGAGATCGGAGTTTAGAACAAAAAGTGCGGGCTTAATATTGTTCTCCATGTCAAGTTACGTCATAATATTGAAAATCCGGTGTTTCTAGTCACTTTTTTGCAAATATAACAATTTGTAACACTGTGTATATCTCGTCGAGATCGGAGTTTAGAACAAAAAGTGCGGGCTTAATATTGTTCTCCATGTCAAGTTACGTCATAATATTGAAAATCCGGTGTTTCTAGTGACATTTTTGCATTTGTAACAATTTGTAACACTGTGTATATCTCGTCGGGATCGGAGTTTAGAAGAGAAAGTGCGGGCTTAATATTTTTCTCCATGTCCAGTTACGTCATAATATTGAAAATCCGGTGTTTCTAGTCACTTTTTTGCAAATGTAACAATTTGTAACACTGTGTATATCTCGTCGAGATCGGAGTTTAGAACAAAAAGTGCGGGCTTAATATTGTTCTCCATGTCAAGTTACGTCATAATATTGAAAATCCGGTGTTTCTAGTGACATTTTTGCATTTGTAACAATTTGTAACACTGTGTATATCTCGTCGAGATCGGAGTTTAGAACAAAAAGTGCGGGCTTAATATTTTTCTCCATGTCCAGTTGCATCATAATATTGAAAATCCGCTGTTTCTAGTGACATTTTTGCATTTGTAACAATTTGTAACACTGTGTATATCTCGTCGGGATCGGAGTTTAGAAGAGAAAGTGCGGGCTTAATATTTTTCTCCATGTCCAGTTACGTCATAATATTGAAAATCCGGTGTTTCTAGTCACTTTTTTGCAAATGTAACAATTTGTAACACTGTGTATATCTCGTCGAGATCGGAGTTTAGAACAAAAAGTGCGGGCTTAATATTGTTCTCCATGTCAAGTTACGTCATAATATTGAAAATCCGGTGTTTCTAGTAACATTTTTGCATTTGTAACAATTTGTAACACTGTGTATATCTCGTCGAGATCGGAGTTTAGAACAAAAAGTGCGGGCTTAATATTTTTCTCCATGTCCAGTTGCATCATAATATTGAAAATCCGCTGTTTCTAGTCACTTTTTTGCAAATGTTACAAATTGTTACACTGGGTATATCTCGTCGGGATCGGAGTTTAGAAGAGAAAGTGCGGGCTTAATATTGTTCTCCATGTCAAGTTACGTCATAATATTGAAAATCCGGTGTTTCTAGTAACATTTTTGCATTTGTAACAATTTGTAACACTGTGTATATCTCGTCGAGATCGGAGTTTAGAACAAAAAGTGCGGGCTTAATATTGTTCTCCATGTCAAGTTACGTCATAATATTGAAAATCCGGTGTTTCTAGTAACATTTTTGCATTTGTAACAATTTGTAACACTGTGTATATCTCGTCGAGATCGGAGTTTAGAACAAAAAGTGCGGGCTTAATATTTTTCTCCATGTCCAGTTGCATCATAATATTGAAAATCCGCTGTTTCTAGTCACTTTTTTGCAAATGTTACAAATTGTTACACTGGGTATATCTCGTCGGGATCGGAGTTTAGAAGAGAAAGTGCGGGCTTAATATTGTTCTCCATGTCAAGTTACGTCATAATATTGAAAATCCGCTGTTTCTAGTCACTTTTTTGCAAATGTTACAAATTGTTACAAATTGTTACAAATTGTTACAAATTGTTACAAATTTCATACTGAGGGGTTCATTCCTGGGGTACTGTAGTCAGGCAACAGCTTTGTCGTAGGCAACCGCGTTGTCGTGGGCAACAGCGTTGTCGAGGGCAACATCGTTGTCGAGGGCAACATCGTTGTCGAGGGCAACATCGTTGTCGAGGGCAACATCTTTGTCGAAGGCAACTGGGTTGTCGAGGGCAACTTGTTGGCTGGGTAGTTGTTTTGTGTTCTTATTAAACTTTAATTGTCATAGTGTTCATTAATATTCATTGCTCTCAATCTTAGTCATAGTGATCTTTCTTAGTCATGGTGTTTGATCATAGTCATAGTGATTAATTATAGTCATGGTGATCAATCATATTCATAGTGATCAATCTTAGTCATTGTGCTTAATCTTAGTCATGGTGATCAATCATATTCATAGTGATCAATCTTAGTCATTGTGCTTAATCATAGTCATGGTGATAACTGATCTTCATAGTGTTGTATTTGTCGTAGTTAGTCTTTTTGTTGGTATAGAATTCTAGTTGACATAGTTATGTATTCATCATAGTTAACTCGTTGACATAGTTATGTGGTTGTTATAGATATCTGGTAGTCATGGTTATCTTTGTATTCATAGTGATCTGTGTTGTCATATTGATATCATTAGTCATAGTTATCTAGTTGTGATATGTATCAAGTTGTTATAGTTATCTATTTGTTATAGTTATTTCTTAGGAATAGTTATCTGGTAGTCATAGATCTTTCGTAGTTATAGTTTTCTGGTAGTCATAGTTTTTTTTGTTGTTGTCATAGATATGGAGTTGTCATAGATCTCCTGTTGTCCTAGCTTACTTGTTGCCATAGGTATCTTGTTGTCATAGATATGCTGTTTTCTTAGTTATCTTGTTGTCATAGATATGCTGTTTCCTTAGTTATATTGTTGTTATAGATATCTTGTTTTCCTACTGCCTTGGTTGCTTTGTTACGTGTTGTCATAGAAACCTTGGAATCCTTGTAATTTTGTTGTCTTACATATCTGGTTGTCTTACTCGCATTCCTTTCGTCAATACTTGTTATCTTTGATATCATGTTGTATTAACTATCTTGTTGCTCTACGGACTTGGTTGTCTTGCATACCTGGTTGTCTTGCATACTTGGTTGTCTTGCATACTTGGTTGTCTTCGTCACCTTGTTGTCGTACATATGTCGGTGTCTTGCTGTCGTAGTCATATAGTTGTCTTCGTTACTTGCTCACTTGGATACCCTGTTGTTTTAGTTATCTTGTATCTTAGATACATTATCCGCTTAGATTTGTCGTTGCCTTGGATATCTGGCTGTCTAATTTATCTGGTTGTCTTATATTTCTCGTTGTCGTGGATATCATGTTGTCTGAGCGATTTCGTTGCCTTAGACACATTATTGCCTTGGTTATTTCGTTACCTTAGTAACATTGACGTCTTGGACATACTGTTATCCCGTATGTCTTGCTGTCATAGATATCATATTGTCTTCCTGATATGGTTGCCCAAGATATCTCGTCGCCTTAGATATCTTGTTGTCTTAGTTACTTGGTAAATTGAATTGTCTGTCGTCTTGGTAATTACCTTTTTCTTGAATACAAGGGTCTCTTGTCACCTTAATCGACCTGGGTACCTTATCGTATTTGCCTCTTGACGCTTTTAGATTTTATGTTGCTCTCAATATTCTGCTGGTTTTTTTTTTTTTTTGGTCCTTGTCCATTTTCATTCCAAATAACTTATATGGGTTTTTCTCTAAAATCCATAACTACGTATGATATGTAGCATTACAGTTCTCCTTAATTGTGACCTGTAGATACTGACTCCACCACAAGTTATGGTATATCCTTAGTTATAAGTCCGGAATTAGATCCGGTTACACCAAAATTATAGATCCGATAGACGCTAATACTGCACACCCGTTTATGATTTTGGTTTTTCGGAAATTCAATTGTCGGTCCTGGAAATCCTTATACTAATCTTCAACATGGCATAACTTCATGAAAAATGGAGTTAGAAACACAGAACAAAAAAAAGTCGGTGTGCAATATTACCGTTAACGCAATGTCTAAATTTCAAATTAATCGGCGATTAAAAAGTTATTTTTTTATTTTTTAATTGGTACTTAATAATCCAAACAATAATTCCATTAGATGTATGTTTTGGTTTAGTGGTAGATGTCTGTGCTCTACTTATAGCTGTCCTAGGTTCAATTCCCAGCGCGATTGTAGATTTTTTTTTTTTATTTTTTTTGTTTTGCTTGTGTTAGGATTTGGAAGAGTTCAGTGCTGTAACACTGTCCTGATAGTTGTTATAATATTTTAGTATATAAATAAATGTAGAGTAGATACCGATGACATTATTTGATTTAATTATTGATTCTATTTTATAGGTGGGCAGAGGTGATATGAATTATAAGTACGACAATACTTATAGTAATTAATCCAAGATACAAAGTATTTAATTAGGAGATCAAAAGTTGATTTTATTACAAATATAAATTATACTATTCATATATAATTATTATTAAGAGACCGAAAAAGGTACGACATCAGTTAAAACAAGATTTCTTATTTCTATTTTAGCTAACTTAATATAAAGTTCTTTCTTCTTCAAACTGTTCATACCTGAAATATATAAAATATGATTGTAATGTCTCAAAACCATTCCGGTTTTTGTTAAAGCCTTCGCGATTATATTATTTTTCAATATATGCCAAAAAAAATATCAAGAGTCGAATCATAAATTACAAACAATTAAAACTTTGTTAAGGAAGGAAACAAGATAATAGTTTTGAATTGCAGGATGTTATTGTAACCCTAGAAGAGAAACCATAGAGGTAGTTCTAAATATACTTAACACTGGCATTGATATCAATAATTAAAGTGAGGCTTCTCAGGTATGCACATAGTATTAGCAATTTTACTTTTATATTCTACCACTGCTTAATATATAGACACTTTATATCCAGCCTATTGCATATATACTAATTAACAACAAGCAAACCTTGAAATATCATCCATTACCTGATCGATATATTAATGTTTACTTCTAAGCGACTCTCCGATCAGATCTTCCGAAATAAAATATATTTCAATTCTCTTCAATTAATTAAAAGATATCTATTTTTAGTCTCGAATAATTTAACTTCTTATTGATCGAAGCAACTCACCGTTTCTGGACACTAAAGATGTCGATGATTGACTACCAATGATATCATTACACTATATTATTTAGATTAAATACAGGACGACTGTTTTCTGTGCGTTTTCAATCTGCAAAGCGTAGAAGCATTTTCTAAAATTTTGCATTACAATTTAAAAATTATGTAACATGATTTTTAATTAGAGGAGACACTACCGATGTCGTTAATTGTGTTCCTGTTAAACCGATTAACAAGACTTTTATTTATAACCAAACAAAAAGTAAAATTTGAACTACTAATACCTGAACATACCAAAGCGAATGTAGTTAAAATGGACTAGATAACAACTGGTTTGTTGTTTGATAAGAAATAAAAAAAACAAAAGTACCCAAAAATGATGAAAACATTTAAGAACCCACGTAGCGATATGTATCCAAAAAAGAAAGGAATTAAAAAAAAGGGCGAACACGCTTAAAAACGCAGGTAACGATATGTATCTATTTTAGATATCAAAAAGCTAAGGAAACGTTATACGCGGGACAAAAACAATGTCAAAATTCCGAACTAATAGCTTCAGTAAATGAAATTCATTGCTATCAATAGAACGTAGTTGACTCCAATATACTATCAATTAATGATTCAGATGTCGTTATTTTTCCATATTAAAAAGAGTAGAACAGAATTCACGTACATTCATGTGATCAGTTGGCCCGTAATTACGAATTCATACATAGGTCGTGCCATTTCTAAAAGCAATCATTCTTAAATATGAGATAGGCGAGGAAATTGTAGTGGCAATTTTCAAAGTAATATGGCATTAAACGTTCTTTCAGTGATTAAGTTATAATTTAAATGTTACAGTATATCTGAGATATTGACCATACAATAACAAAGGGCAGTCGTAAAACAAATATTACGATATAGCAATTGACAGCCGCTCGTAGTGGCAGTATATAACTTGACTGGCATAAAGGATAGACATTAAAGTACTGACAACTATAATAAAGAAATAATGTATCGTCATAAGCATAAGATGCAATCCGTGATTCATGTAGCAGTGGTATGAAAGAGCCTACGGGGTTTAATAAAGAAGAATAACATCGGCAGGCTCAATTGAATATTTAGTTTGATATGCTATTATACAAGTCAGCATACAATGATACTCTAACAACGACATTCAACTTTTTATTGGCTACAAAACATTGGAAAGAGCAGTCTAAGAAATCAGGAAGTAAAACTAATAGAATCATCCGTATCGTTTTATTATCGTTCGTACGATTGATACATAATAAACGTCTGTCTGGAAGTGAGGAAAATGTGTAGATTTTCTGTGCGAAAATTGCCAAGTTTTAACGGAACTACGTAGCGAAAACGCGATTAACTTTATTATTCTTCTATTCTGATGATGGCATTAAACAGTTTACTTTATTAATTGTGTAGTATGTGTTCAAAAAGCTGTTAGAATATCCTACCATAGAACATAATTCATTGCCATCGCATATTCTGTGTGGCGGTTGATTCAATACTGATTTTTGTAATGTATTTCTGTAGATTAAGAAGTAGTCTAGAAAACGCTCAGACTGATAATATGGTCGGATATAATTGTAGAATCGTAATTGTTTCATGAGAATAAGAGTACGGTGGAGTTTTTCGTATGATTATGACATTCCCTGGATATTATCACATACAAGTCAGTATTAAAACATACATAATCCGGAACGTATTTTAATTCTAAATACGTTACTTTGGCAGCGTATTTCAATCAGTCATAATTTCTTATAGTTTTAGGCACGAAGCAGTGAAACAAAAAAATGTTTCTTTAAGGACATACTAAACCAGTTGTATTTATTTACCTGATTAAATAGTCATGTCCACAGACATTGGAAAACTTGGATTATTAAATTTTGTATCTATCTCGCATGTTCTTTAGCAAAAAAAAAGGTCCTGGTTTTTGCTTACCAAATTGAATTAATTGATATAAAGTAAACACTTATTGAAAGTTTGAAATGTACGCCTTACCAATTCTATTGATCGAATTGTTCTACATCTGTTTTAAAGTTAGATTACCGGGCATTTCGATATAGTATGTCCACGACATCGTAACTGGTAGTAAATCTATAAGCATGAATGATCCTTTTACTAAGTTTTGTCGGCGTTTTAAGACAGTTCTTATACGATCCGCTTCCATCCAGTTCAGCACAGGCTGTTTTGTGAAAATTCAGAACTGACCAAAACTGGCGGACTTTTAAACTGGGAAGAGATTCGTTACCCGCTCGGGTAGATAGAGACAGAAAAATGGTACGGACTACATGTAACAAAATTCTTTGTATCTGTCAAGGAACGGAAAATAGACAAACATAAATATCTGTGACTGTTCTTTCGATTTTAAAAAGGCACAGGGGCCCTGAAATAAAAACTTTCTCTTTTGTTTCATGTAAGTGTTTTTTATAATAATGTTGAATTTTGAGATCAACATTTAAAATAAGTTACTAAATCGCTTTCGCTCCATCTTCTCCAACTATATTCCTCTTTGCAGAACCTATACGACGCTTAAATTTACGACATTTCTCTTCATTTTAAACAATTGACAACAATTCTTCGACATACATGTTTGATCTCAACAACACGCATGCAAAAACGTTTTACAAACAGCAAAGTATTATTCGTTGCTCTTTCGAACAATAAATATGCCACGTACCACAAGAAATACTCGTTCCAACAATGTTGATGATGCTGAAATGCCTTCGCGTGTTACTAGAAGAGCCTATCGTTCCAGAGTTCCAACTGCAGGCGATAGAAATTTGCAAGTAGTAGAAGAGTCGAATAACGAGAATGCCATGCAGTAAGTACTTTATAGAAAATGCTTTATTAAATAAATCAACTAATAGCTTTACCAAACTATTTAGGTATTTAAGACAGATTGGTGCGTTTAACTCTGAAATGAGGTGCGAATATTATCCGTTATGCGACAAGGATATGATTCCTTTCATTCGTACTGACGCCAAGGACCAAATATACTTCTACTGTCCCCGTTCAGTCGTCCACGATTACTACAAGAGAACATGCGC